AGGCACTTGATAACAGTTACCTATCATTACCCTCTGACAAAAGGAAAAAAGCTTAGTCCAGCAGAGGCTTTTCCCTGCCTTTTATAACATTTATTTTTCAGGGCACCTGGGTGGCTCAGTCGGTTAAGCGTCTGTCTTTGGCTCAGGTCATGATCCTGGGGTCCTGGGATCGAGTCCCGCATCAGGGAGCCTGCTTGTCCCCTCTTCTCCCCCTGCTTGTGCTCTCTCTCTGTCAAATAAATAAATAAAATTTAAAATATATATAAAAATATATATGTATAACATTTATTATTCTTCTTTTGAGAATCCTGCACGGGTTGTAGAACATTTAGAAAAACAAAAATAATGAAAATGAAGGAAAGGAAAAGCCTCCATCTTTAGGACCCAGTAAACATTTGGGTGCACCTCCAGCCCTTCTGTCATTTTCCCAAACCTAGAATATGTCCCTCTTGACGCCCTTCCGGAATAGGGTGCTCTTGTTTGCTAACTCATGATGTGCGGGCAACATTTTCTTTTCTTTTTTTTAATTTTTTTAAGATTTTATTTATTTATTTGACAGAGAGAGAGATAGCGAGAGCAGGAACACAAGCAGGGGGAGTGGGAGAGGGAGAAGAAGGCTTCCCGCCGAGCAGGGAGCCCGATGCGGGGCTCGATCCCAAGACGCTGGGATCATGACCTGAGCCGAAGGCAGACGCTTAACGACTGAGCCACCCAGGCGCCCCGGGCAACATTTTCTATCACTGGTCATGCTCAGATAAACCAGGACAGATTGTGTCATCAGCATTACAAAAGGTAACTAGCCGTGGGATGGGCATCTGTCACTGTGCTGGGATTCTGTGTTTACCTTCATTATCATTTAGAAGGACTGACCTCATTCATTTATTAAACAAATATTTGTTGAACACAAGGCAGTGTGCTTTGGTTGCTAGGAAGACAACGGGGTGTCTTGTCTTTATTGGTGAGCTCATTGTATTAATAGTGAGAATCTCTATATAGCAGGACAGGGAATATTTAAAAAAAACAAATAAATTATAGGTTTTCTTTTGATCAAAAAAATTGTGTTTGGTGGGAGGAACCCCTTTGTCTTTACTCTTAGGTCAAAGTGACAGGGAAGCTAAGCGCCTGTTAGAAGAAGGGCTGGTTCTCCCCTTTATCACATGCCGGAGTGCTTGCTGGGGGTGGGGTGCCCAGGGAGTTTGTAGTCTGTTGGTGCCCTCCTGTCTCACAAATGGTGGTTCTTAGGGTCTTAGGATATTTTTCCTCCAAGATGCCAAACGAAGCCAACTACTTCCTCTTGTGCTCCCCCCACTGCTCGGGGGGTGGGAGTCGGCACGCTGGGCCTTCTGGGGGATGGGCAGTCTTTCCAGAGCCTAAGGGTTTTTTTTTTTTTTTTAGGGTAATTTTGAGATCACGGGATTTGTGTCTCTCCGTGGACTTCAGACTCCAATGTTCTCAAAAGACACCTTGTGCCCTGCCCACCTCCCCCCCCACCCCTCTTCAATCTCTCTTCTTGCACACCTTCCCCTGCAGCAGGCTTGCCCCCTGCCACGGGTCACCTGCTGCTGTGGTTTGGCCTCAGGTGGGCTTGTCTTTGTGGCTTCTGTGTCTTAGATGATACAGAGAAGCTCACCACCCGAGCCCCAGCTAGGTCTCTAAAATGTAAAAATGATCACATCATACCCTTGCTTAGAATCCTTCCAAGGCTCTTCATGATGTATAAATCCGAATGATTCAGCTTGCATAGCTGTGCCCCAGGTCCCAGCCTCACCTTCTAGGGGCTCCCTCACTCTCCTGCCGTGCCCCACCTACCATCTTTCAGGAGCAACCCCAAGACACCTGTTCCTGCCTCCCTCCCCTGAAGCAGCCATCCTTGCCTTAGCACCGTCTCTGTTAGTCTTGCTCTTTGGGCTACTCTCGCTTGAGAACAGACCTGGCTCTCACACGGTACCCGGCACAGAGGAGGGATCCAAACACGTGAGGCTGAACTGGTGAAGCCTTGAGGGGACTGCTTTGTCCGTCGGCAGCCCCGGGCCAGTAGGAAGGGCAGGGCCAGCAACAGAGGGGTGTGTGGTACGTGCGGGCAGGGGCGGCAGCTTGGGTACAACCCATCAATTTTGCACAGCACAGACGGTTTGGTTGCGTCCACAGCCTTCATCGAGAGCATAAAAACATAAACCCGAGGACAGAAAGAAAGGTCAGCTTCTCCATGCAATGCTTGCCATGCATCTCCTGCAATCTAGATTTGCCCCAGAGCAGCATGAACGGGTCAATCTGATTGACTTTTTTGTGACAGATTTGTTTTCCAAAAATGGCCGCAAATGTTCCTCCCGTCCCAAAGTTCTTCCAGAACCTTGCTACTCCTCCACCGAGAGATGGAGGCGAGATGGAGCCTCTGTTCCTGAGAGCTTTCCCCAGATGTGTGGCTTTCGGTAAACTGAGGTTTTTGCTTTTAGATGAATGTTCTGGAGACAGAGATCATGTAGTCCTCCGCACACTGAACGGTGTGGTGGTAATATTTGTTTTCTGAATTTCTCCCCGACCCCCACCCCCAGCCTGGGAGAAAAACGGGCTGAGAAGCTAGTGTCCCCCCCTCCCCACCGCGACTGGCACTGGCCCATGGAGGTGGGAGCTACCGGGGGTGGGGCCTCGCACTTTCCGGTCCCAGGGATGCCACACTGGGCTCTCCTTTGCCCCGAACACTCACACCCCCGCTCCTGGCAGTGCTCTGAATTATCTTGCTTCCTGGTGGCCTCTTCCTACTGGAAGGTGAGCCACGAGGGCAGAGGCAGGGGCAGGACCTGCATCCGTCCTGGTCTTGATTGTGTCTTTAGCACGCAACAGTCTGGCCAGGAGGAGGTGCTCAAAAATATTTTTCTAAATGCTGAAAGAACAAATGAGTTGAGGGAGCCCTTAGAGGTTATCCAGGCCTGACCCCCACTGTGGCAGAAACCTCCCCCATGGTAGCCCTGACAGGTGAGAATTAGCCTTTTAAAAAAAATGTTTATTTTTGTACTCTACACCCAATGTGGGGCTTGACTCACAACACTGAGATCAAGAGTGGCATGCTCTTCCGACTGAGGCAGCCAGGTGCCCCCGAGCATTACGCTTCTTTTAGTTTATTTTTAACAATTAAAAAAAAGATTTTATTTATTTGAGAGACAACGGGCATGAGCAGGGAGGAAGGGCAGAGGGAGAGGGAGAAGCAGACTCCCCACTGAGCAGGGACCCCAACGTGGGGCTTGATCTCAGGACCCCTAGATCATGACCTGAGCCGAAGGCAGACACCCAACCCACTGAGCCACCCAGGCGCCCCGAGAATTATTCTGAAACACCTTTGGGAAGGAGAGATCACTGCCTCACACAGAAGCCTATTCTATTCCATTAAAAAAAAAAAGCTTCATCATGATGTCAAGAATCATCTGTGACTGTTAAGGATTGCTCTCGAGAGCTTTCTGCATCCTGGCTGCCTCCCAGAAGGAAAGCTCTAGCTCACCATTATCCCAGCGCACGGCGATGAGGCCCTGGACAAATCACTAGCCCTTTCTGGACTCTTCTGTCTTTGTGCAAACTGGAACCATCTATCTTAGCACACTGAGTACAGCAATATACTTAAGGGATTCTGAAAATTTGTAAAAGTTAAGAACTCCTCTTCTTTTTTTAACATAGGACGCTGGAAAATGCTAAAGAAAGCACCATTCACCTCATGACTCTGAGGCTTACTTGGATACATCAGGATCAGGGTTCTGTTTTTCTCCCATCTCCTGTCGGCCAACATTATAAAAGCTCTTCTCTGATCCTGGATTAGACTCAACCGTGGGAGGTGATGGGCAGTGGTTCTCTTTCAGCAGCTTAGAATCTTCTAGGCACTGGCTCCTGCATGTCCTGTCCCAGCCCGTCAGATGCCGCCTTCCGGCTGCAGGTGCGGGAGGCCCAGGGCCCCGTGCAGAGTGGGGTCGGGTGTGTGGGGCCTGGCACCGCTCTGGGACTCTGCAGCATGTGGCTTCTTATCCTAGCCAAGAGGCCCTGTGTTCTCTGAGGGGTCACGTTCTGCAGAAGTATGCTCTCAAGGTGTGGCCTAAATCAAAAGAACAAACAAGATGATGCCTCAAAGGTCAGCCCTCTTGTGGCTCTTGTCTCCACACCCAAACCTTTGTCTTGGACCTGCCAGGAGTCTTCTGGCCTGGCGTTGCTTTGTCTAGTGGCTTAACTGACAGCAAAGACAGCGCAGCTGTGAACAAAAAAATGCCTCGCAGACACTAAGAAATCATGCGTTACCCCAGGTCCTCAACGAGGATGGAGAAAATCTTAGAATGAAATCCAGAGCTCCCTGGGATTCTCCCCTCCTCACTTAGCACCTCTGGGCATCCGTCTTGGGTCTTTTTCATTTGAATGAACCCAGTGAACCAGCCTCCACCTTTCAAAGGAATCTGAGGAAACTTTCCTGCCAAGTCCCCACTGAGTGCCTGTGACACTCAAGAACTGGGCCCGGGCTCATGTGTAGGTTAAGGAAGTCCAAGAAGAATAAAGATTATAGGGAAACAGTCTACCTTTCTTTACAAGGTCTTGTTTTGCATCCCTGAAATCTCAGACTCAGCTACTACAATGAAGTCCTGTTGCCGAAAGGGCTGGCCTTTTATCACCACTTAAAATCTAATTAATCCATATTGAAGCACAAAGATTTCTGTTGTATTTTAGGGTGAGGGGTCATAGAGCCCTCTTTGTTCATCCTTAGACTTATAATCATCAAGCATTGGGGATATAATTTTACCAAGCAAATTGGAAGGTAACAGATCAAATCCTTATCAGAAAGCCTAACTCATAGTTTTAACAGGGTCCTTCGTCCTTTACATGAAACATTATATTCGAGAAGAACAAAAACGCATTTCAGAGTTTCCAAAGAGATAATGGCCAACGCTTATATTCCAGGCAGCATAGGACCAAGATTGTCACACTCCTGTCAACCACGGAAGACAGTGGCCCACGTAGTAAGATCTGTTAGAATGGCTTTCGTCTTTAGAGTAGCAATGCAATTCGTTGGACTTTTATTATCTTTGCTGGGATGGGTTTTGTCCATGATCACAACTTATTTGCCACAGTGGAAAAACCTCAATCTGGACTTAAACGAAATGGAGAACTGGACCATGGGGCTCTGGCAGGCCTGTGTGATCCAAGAGGAAGTGGGGAGGCAGTGCAAGGACTTCGATTCCTTCCTGGCTTTGCCCGCCGAACTCAGGATCTCCAGGATTCTCATGTTCCTGTCCAACGGGCTGGGGCTCCTGGGCCTGCTGCTCTCCGGGTCTGGCCTGGACTGCCTGAGGATTGGAGAGACGCGGCGGGGCCGCAAGAAGGGGCTGCTGATCCTGGGAGGGATTCTGTTCTGGTCAGCAGGCATCTCGGCCCTGGCTCCGGTGTCCTGGGTCGCCTACAAGACGGTCCAGGAGTTCTGGGATGAGACTGTGCCAGAGATCGTGCCCAGGTGGGAGTTTGGGGAAGCCCTCTTCCTGGGCTGGTTTGCCGGGTTTTTCCTCCTCGTGGGAGGGTGCCTGCTGAACTGTGCAGCCTGCTCCCCCCGGGCTGCCCCAGCTTCGGGCCACCATGCAGTGGCAGAAACGCTAACTCAGGGGCCGTACCTGGAAAATGGAACCAAAGACCAGAGAATGTAAGCCTTGGACGGGACCAGAGAGATGCATCTTTCCACATCAGCTGTGATGGGGGGTCTACACTAGAAAGGGGTCTTTGTTACGTGACTAAATCCGTGCTGCTCACTCATTAAATAACTACTTTTCTATTCTAGACCCCCCTGCCCCCGCAAATCTGGAGAGGTAAGAAAGAGGCAAGTCTTATATCTAAAAGAAAATTATCATGGTAAGCATTACATAGGTATGGGCAAAAATAATTTCATCGATCTGGTTATTTAAATCAAAATGTGGTGGTGGTTGTCCATTGTAATCAGTATTAAGTTTTAATGTGTTAACTTTATATTAGAAGCTTTTTTGTTTTTGTTTTTATTGGTAGCTGGAAATAATAATTAGTTTCTATTTCCTAAAGGAAAACCCAATCTGAAATCCTTTAAACATTCTACATTAGCCACAGCACATGTTCAGCCTATCCCAAAGTGTTATTTCCACAACAATGACTTTGGTCTTCTTTGAACAGAGGCAGTTTGTGTTCAGGACCTAACAGGCATGCTGTGTGACAGAACTGGATGAGGCTGACGGTTTTCAGTACTTTATGATACTCTCACACTCAAAATACTGGCCGGTCTCGACCTCTCTTGTCTCTTCCTTCAAAAGTTTCAAATCTAAAAAAGATGAACAATTCCAAAAATGTTTCGTGCTTGATATCCAGATATTGATAGTTCCCACTTGCCCTAATACAATTTCCTTTGTTTCATTAAAAATGATCAGCATGGGGCTATTTACTTCGGTGGTGAACTGACAGAGATGTTCATTCCAACCCACAAAGTCCTATTGCTTAACTCTTCCACAACATAGAAAGCATATTTAAGCAAACAAAACAAAAACTGTGCATGCACAGGCGCATGAATTTGACAGAAAGGCAGGGAGGTAAGTAGACTTGAGATTTAGGCTCCATATGGTTTCATGTGTTATGTCGTATAGATAGGTCAAGGGTCTGAAAAAAAACAGAGCCGACTGAAGGTCTAGAGAGATTTCCGAAGTAAGATCGATTTATCTGGTAAGAAATATTTTTCTTGAACGTGCTTTTAAAAAGGGACCACATTCAGTATTACTGCGATGTACGTACTGAAATCCGAGAGTGATAACACATGGCAATGTGACAGGTGCAATTAGTAAGATAGACAGAAAGCCTTGGAGCTGAACGCAAACTGCCGACTGACCATGTTGCATTTAGACTTCTTAATTCTTTGAGCTGTTAAAAGGTTGGGAACAACCTGAAAGCCATCTGTACATTAACAATGACAGGAGGATGAGTGCTGCCTGGCGTGATTTCAGAGACAAACTGCGACCACGGTCAGCCGCGAGGACACGAGCATGGCGCTTGGCCACACCTTGGCGTTGCCGGTTGGCAGACTTATTTCCCTGTCCTTTCCTGAAAGCCAGTTAACACAGACCCAAACAATAGCCACTCTGGCAAGAATCCTTTACACACAATGAAGAAATATTTCCGAGCTCTGAGGTGACAGCATAAGACGTCACACTTCTCTGCACACGAGCCGAAAGGCAGGAGTTGGTTTGGTTCAGGCTCCGTGGGGCTCAGGGATGGCTTTAGTATTTCGGAGTGTGGCACAATTCGCTGGGATCTCACTATCTTTGCTGGGATGGGTGCTATCCTGTCTTACAAACTACCTGCCACAGTGGAAAAACCTCAATCTGGACTTAAACGAAATGGAGAACTGGACCATGGGGCTCTGGCAGGCCTGTGTGATCCAAGAGGAAGTGGGGAGGCAGTGCAAGGACTTCGATTCCTTCCTGGCTTTGCCCGCCGAACTCAGGATCTCCAGGATTCTCATGTTCCTGTCCAACGGGCTGGGGCTCCTGGGCCTGCTGCTCTCCGGGTCTGGCCTGGACTGCCTGAGGATTGGAGAGACGCGGCGGGGCCGCAAGAAGGGGCTGCTGATCCTGGGAGGGATTCTGTTCTGGTCAGCAGGCATCTCGGCCCTGGCTCCGGTGTCCTGGGTCGCCTACAAGACGGTCCAGGAGTTCTGGGATGAGACTGTGCCAGAGATCGTGCCCAGGTGGGAGTTTGGGGAAGCCCTCTTCCTGGGCTGGTTTGCCGGGTTTTTCCTCCTCGTGGGAGGGTGCCTGCTGAACTGTGCAGCCTGCTCCCCCCGGGCTGCCCCAGCTTCGGGCCACCATGCAGTGGCAGAAACGCGTATCACCATCAGCACCAGGAGATGCACCAAGCCCATCTGAAAATCTAAGCCAGCAAGTGTCAGCGGTGTTCACTCTTCAAGAGACGCTCACTCCTCTCAGCGTTTGGTAGGATTTCCTGCTACACAGCCACCCATTCACTGCGCTTTTAATTTTCTAAAATGCATCTTCCCCCACCCATGGCTATTCGCTTCTTAAATTATAATATCCTTCTAAGACAGTAAAAACACTTTTATCTTCTATTCTGAGACCAAAACCACTCAAGACTTAATAGGAATCATACTCATTACTGTGGATGAATTTTCTCAATTTTAAAATAGATTCAGTGATGGCACAGAGCTAGTAAATAAAACATTGTTAGTGCTTACATGTCTTTGAAGGTGTTATTCATAGAGATGAATCATTTTGGCAACTGGGAATGTTCCTGCTAATCATTTACTGCTTTCAAGTGTGTAAGATCACCTATTATATTGAAACTAAAGCCTTGTTGCGTATTTATTGAGAATGGACAACATTAGATTAGACTAAAAAATTGCTGGTTCTTTGAAAGCTTGAGAGGAGAGAGATGTGGGACACATCATCTCCTTTGTAATCGGAGACCTCGGTGCCTCTACGGAGCCTTTTCCAAAAGCCAGCCACATTCTTCATGCTTTCCTCACCAGGGCAGAAACAGAGGGTGGCAATCTCGTGTTTGGGGAGATTCACGTAAAATACGGCCCCCCAAGTGTGCTCTGGCTTGGGTGCCCCACGCTCTGTGGTAGATGGCTGATGCCTGCTGTCAGCCCCAGCTGCCTCGGGGCTCTGAGGAGCGGCCACGGGGCTGCTGCAGGTCAAGGTCGGGGGAAGCTCCTGGGACCGCTGCGCCACCACCAGAGCACAAGGCCGGGATGGGCTCACTTTGGAGACCCCTTCTTTTACTCGCGTGATAAAAATACGCCGTCTTTTTCTATCAGCAATACATATTGCCCAACCCAGAACCATTCCCAGCCAACGGCTGGCTTGGGAAGTTCTGATGATGGATTTGGTATTTGCTCGGTACATGGCTCGAGTAAACTCTTGTTTGCACCAATCAGGGAAACTGAACAGTAAACAACACTGAAATTAAGTATGAGGCAATATGCATCTTTGTTTAAAAAAAGAAAAAAACAACAAACCCACTGAACTTTTTTCCACCCACAAACACAGGAAAAGTGCAGAAACCAAAGTTAATCTATGTGATGTATTTGCATACTTTTACAGACGAGACAATTAAAACAGAAACATATTCAGAATTTAACCTGATTAAATATTTAGTTCAGTCCTGAGCTTTTGATATTTAATACAATATAAAGTAATAGCAAAAAAAAAAGATTTTAAATTTGATTTGCATGCTACAGAGATTCAGCTAAACTTTGTTCATTTGGCTAGCAATATTTTTTTTTTGTACCTGTAACTTAGATTCTGATATACAAAATTATAATAACATACTGATAATTCAAACTTGAGAACTAAATATTACATTCTTTTTACCCTGTGCAGAATAAATTCTACCTTTAAAAAATAGTATTTATAATATTAAAATTTGTATTGTTCATATGGTTTTGTGATCAAGTTATTAAGATGTTTTGTCACTGTGAATCATTTGGGTTAGTACAAATATGACAGAATTGTTAAAAGCTGCCTATAAATACATAACACTATTGCTGATTTTTAAAGTGTGGAAAAGGATTATATTAAAATAAGTTCGTTTCTCATGTTAGAAATGAGGAAATTTTGTAAAATAAAACCCAACGTGTCTTGGTCACAACTGTTAACTACCAGCCTGAGACAGATTTTATTCTTTTATACTTGTCTGAAACTTTTTGTATTACAAAAAGTTAACAGCGAATCTGATGAAGATTTATAAAGGTGTAGATATTCCAATATAGCCTCTTCTATGTCAAACATTTAAAATGGCCAGAACCGAACTATATATTAAACAGAACATAAATAAGACCGTAAATAAATAAATGAAGAAAATAAAATCGTACGGCACAACTACACATAATTCTATAAACATTTTCACGGTCGAACTAAGAAGCTGAAAACAGCTGACCTTCATTTAGCTCTACATTAAATAAACCTCTGTCTTTCACATTTGACCTTGACAAGGATGAATGGTATTCTTTCTAGTTCTCCTTAGTCATCTGATAGAATGAACCGCGCGGCCTTGAAGGACTGTGTGCAGTCAATTCACAAGGCTGGGTTTTGTTCAAAGTCGTGTCACATCCAGCTATAGCTTCAGAGACATTTAGATATAAGTGGTGGGACAACTGAGGAAAAAATAATTAAAGTTCCAGGCTCAGAAATTGCTTAATTTGAATTTCGATGCTGATAAAATGAACTTTGCAAAATAGGGATAATTACTTTCAAAAAACTAAAAATCCTTGCTGGGGATTCTATCTTAGAAATAGAACTTACCCTTTTTTTTTTTTTTTAAGGGGTCTATTCCTTGAAGGTGATTTTTGCATTTCTAAAAAAAAAATGATTTCACTACAGAAGATGGCTAACCAAAAATCGCCTCTTCCACTGTAACTGACTGAATGATAAGTAGGATTTAAATTGCATAATACTCTTCATTTTAAAAGCCTTTATGCCGGCAGAGCTACACGGTGGATCTCTTTCTTTTAAGCTGTGCCCGGCTGGGGACGCAGAGGACACTTGAGTCCATTCCTCTCTCTTCATTTAGTTCATCTAGAATTGTTTTCTGAGACAAATGCCTTGGCCCATACTTCAAATTGATAATCTCCCCAGGCACACTCTTCTCTTGGCCTCCTTACCACAGATTACAGAGGGGAAGCCCCTCAACATGAGAGCTGCAAATAATCTCTAGTGAATGTGAGAAATCTGTTTAATAAAGTTTTTTTAAAAAAATTTTTTGGCCACTTGGATCCAGTCAAGATTCCTGTGTCCCCAAAGAAGCGCTCATGCGTTTCCCTCCACGGGGCTGTCTGTCCTCAGAGGGCCGGCTGCCCCGGGCTTGTCCTGGGCACCACGTTCAGACCTCGGACAGAACCTCCCCGGGACGCGTCTGCAAATCCCGGTCGTGCTCGCTGAGGAGCTGACTCGAGTGTGGTTAGGGTACCTGGCTTTCTCCTCCGCCCCCCACCCCCCGCCCTAATGTGACAGATCACAAGGTCTTCACTGTAGCCGGGAGCACTGCTCCTCTGTGTTCTGAGATCTCACTCAGCATCTGGTTTTCTTTAGACTAAAAGAAAAGGACAAAAAGGAACTTGTTTTAAGGAAGCAAGTGCTCCAACAGAGGTCACCGGGTGAGCGCACAACACCTGTTCCGGGTGGACTTGGAGCTGGACTCACATTTGCCTTCAAACGCTAAGAGCTGCCCCCTGGTACAAAGATAGCAAGCTGGCCCGTTGCCATCCTCACAGTCTGCCCGTGAGACAATGAAGGAAAAGCCAAGATCGCCGTCTGCTAAACCGAGTTATTTCTCAACAGTTGGTTCAACAGGATACACACCAGGCGTTGCCCCGATTCCATTTGTACAAAACACAGCCTCCTGGCAATTCGTTTGTACTGGACGACATTTGTGTACCAGATTATTCCATTTGGGTTATCTGACTTTTTTTTTTTCTTTTTTTAAACATACAAGAATTACATTCAAGGTACTTTACAAATTAACATGTTGAAAATCTGATGTGAAATAAAAGCTCTTTAAGAGTTGACAGTTACGTTACAAAAAGAACCCCCCTCCCCAAAACAAAACAAAACAAAACAAAACAAAAGTTCAGTCTTGTACCCTCCCTAAGAAGTGAACAGGTGACAGAATAATTTCTTTGGGGGGTGTAATCACACATCATCAGCCGGCAGGGACGGGATGCTTATCTTCGCTCTGGTAAAGTAGGCAATCTTCTCCCTAGAGGCAGGGGTGAGAAATAAACCGGCTTGAATATAATGTTGAAAATACTCTGTGCCCATTAAAAGGAGTCCCAGGAGCAGCGTAGCGTCTGCAAGCCTGCGCAGGAGGTCTTTTCCTCAGGCAGAACTCCATGAAATCAAGACCGTCTTTCCCCTTTACGGGAGGATATAAAGCATATAAAGGAGCACGGCAGCTCCGGCCTCTGGTGAATTGCCCCCTTCCTGGATTTCCAGCATCAGACAGTTTTTAAACCCCCAGGGGGTCAGTTACGAGTGCTTCTAAATGAGGCAGGAGAGGATGCAAGAAGTCCGAAGTCCCAGGGAACTTCTCAGGGACCTTGTAGAAAAGTACATGGTACCGGGAAAATTCTTGAAAATCGATACCATGCTCAGGGAAGGGACACTTGCTGAGTGGTCCCATGAGTCCCAATGAAGGGGAAGGAAGGAACGTGCCTGTAGTAAAGGCAGATCTGTCCCCAATCCCGAAGCAGGGATAAGGAGAAACAACCCGAAAGGGAGACGCTGAGAAATACCGGGCAGAACGGTTTTCAGAGCTTAGGAGAGTATTTAAAAAATAATAATAAGGTTTTAAGATTGTAGAGTTACCGAAGACAGGAGCAATATATTCACTTTTGTGCAAAATCTTCACATCACACATAGTACCCCATCCACACATATTTACTGAGGTGTGTTCTGTTATGCAGGGCACGCCGGTAGCGATAAAGAAGAACAGAGAAAAAAGAAAAGCACCAGCCTTCCTTTGAGAAAATAAGAGTCTATGTAGATGGTGGAGGAAGTGTGGGGTCAAGAAGCAAGTGCAGAGGTGGAAAAGCTCTAGACTAAGGAAAGGAGAGAGAAGAAAGGGAGAGGCCCAGAACTGTGGGCCCTGGCACAAGAGTTCTCTTTGTGGTTTGCATCCTTACAGGCAAGGGAGCGAGCTCGAGACGTCACTGAAGGCCAGCAGGAGAACCCAAGGGAACGCGCGCCGCTAGCGGGTTTCTTCGGCTCACGCCGGGGCTGTCACATCCCTGAATCAGTGGCCACTTTTGACTCCTGATTTTGAACTTCCCTTGACAAATCAGAGGACCAGGGAACACGGGGCCCCTGTTTCCACGTGGAACAAGCAGGCAGGGTGTGTGTGTGTGTGTGTGTGTCCAGTGCTGGGGGCAGACGGAACACCCCGCTCTCCCACCCAGGCCGGCGGCAGTGACAGGGCGCCCCAGACGCCCCAGGACCCCGGGGAGTATCCCCTACCCAGCACAGCACCGGCGCCTAGGAAGGGCCCAAGGAACAACAAAAAGCCCAGAAGCTCTATGCCTTTCTGTGTTTTCTCAGTGAGATGTGCCATCCGCTTCTCAGGGTGGGGGGCACCCCAAGTTCCTGGGAGCCGGGCTTGACGCGGGACAGGGCCGCTTCCGGGGGAGCCTGTAACCTCAGGAAAGAGCAAACGAAGCTCACACGGTAGGAGAGGATTTGGGGTCTCGTAGGCTAACGCGGACTTGCAGCATAACTCAGACGGCGCGGGGACAAGCCCAAAGTGTCGCGGGCGGGGCGGATTACCTGAAGGACTGCACCTGCCGAGGCACCTTGCGGCTCTGCTCCCGGAGCCGGCACACGTCCTTGGAGACCTGCCGCATCAGTTTCTCTGCATTCAAACCTTGCTTCTGCTCTTCTTTTGACTGTTCAGCCTGGCAAAGGAAATAAAACCCCCAAACCCCACAGAACACTAATTAGAAAGCTCCGGAGACGTGCTGTAAGGCTTGGGAGCCTGGGCCCTGAGCCTGGGGTGGGGCGGGGGGGAAGGGGGCGGCATCGTGCGCAGCGGGTGTGCGCGCGCTCTCACCAGCAGGGGGCGCAGTCGCTGATTGTCTCGTGTGTGTGTGTGTGTGTGTGTGTGTGTGTGTCCGTCCTCTCACCAGCAGGGGGCGCAGTCACTGATTGTCACAAGTATTAAAAGATCTTACTAGGTAGGTAATATGTGATCATTTTATTACGTCTGGGAAACCCAAGAACCAGCAGGGGGCGCAGTCACTGACTGTCACAAGTATTAAAAGATCTTACTAGGTAGGTAATATGTGATCATTTTATTACGTCTGGGAAACCCAAGAACCCGCAAAAAAGAAATGAAAAACTACTTACAGCACTGTGACCAAGAAATATCTCCTAACATTTCAACCTCTTATTCATTTTTTCAAACTTTTTTTCTATCTAAGCCATTTTAAAAGCTGTTTACTGAAGTAGAATTTACATACCAGGTTAGCTTCTTTTACTTAGTAATATGCATTTAAGATTCTTCCATGTGTTTCCGTGGCTTGATTGCTCATTTCTTTTTAGAGCTGAATAATATTCCATTATTTACACATACCAAAGTACAAGTACCATCACTCTCTAAAGGATATCTTGGCTGCTCCTAAGTTTTGGCAATTATAAGGAAAGATGCCATAACATTGATGTCCATAACTTTTCCACTCCTTTGGGTAAATACCAACAAGTGTGACTCCTGGATCATTTGCCAACAGCATGTTTATTTACTTTTGTAAGAAAATGTTAACCTGCATCTTACACTTACACAATATTATATGTCAATTACATCTCAATAAAGCTGGGGGGAAAAAGAATTGAAAAAAAAAGTCAAACTGTGTACAAAGTGGCTGTACTATTTTGCATTCCCACCAGCAACGAACAAGAGCGTATCAGCCAGCATTTCATGCCGTCAGTGAAGAGTCAGCGTTTGAGAGTTTGGCCATTCTTTTTTTTTTAAAGATTTTACTTATTTATTTGACAGAGAGAGACACAGCGAGAGAGGGAACACAAGCAGGGGGAGTGAGAGAGGGAGAAGCAGGCTTCCCGCCGAGCAGGGAGCCCAATATGGGGCTCGATCCCAGGACCCTGGGATCATGACCCGAGCTGAAGGCAGACGCTTAACGACTGAGCCACCCAGGCGCCCCGAGAGTTTGGCCATTCTAACAGGCGTGTAGTGGTAGCTCACTCTTGTTTTAATTTGCAGTTCCCTAATGACATGATGTGCAGCACCTTTTCATATGCTTATTTACCATCTGTATATCTTTTTTGGTGAGGTGTCTGTTTAGGTCTTTGGTCTACTTTTCAATTGGGTTGTTCATTGTCTTATTGTTGAGTTTTAAGAGTTCTTTGTATATTTTGGATAACAGTCCTTATCAACAGTCCTTTACGGTTTTGTATTTAGGCCTACAATCAGTTTTTAGTTAATTTTTGCTAAGTGTATAAAGTCTGTGTCTAAATTTTTTTTTTTTTTTTGCATGTGGATGTCCAGTTGTTCCATTTGTTGAAAAGACTCTCGTTTCATTGTACTGCTTTCACTCCTCTGTCAAAAGTCAGTTGACTCTCTCTATATTTACATGGGTCTGTTTCTGGGCTGTCTCTGATGTTCCATTCATCTGCTTGTCTATTCTTTTATCAATACCCCACTGTGTTGATTACTGTTGCTGAACAGTAAGCCCTGATGTTGGGTAGGGTCAGTCCTCCAACTCTGTCTCCTTCAATATTGTGTTGGCTATCATCTGTCTTTTGTGTCTCCGTATAAACTTCAGAACCAGTTTGTCTATGTCCACAAAATAATTTGCTGGGAGTTTTGATTGGGATTACATTAAATCTATAGGTCAATTTGGGAAGAACTAACATTTTTTTTTTTTTTTAAAGTAGGTTCTATGCCCAGTGGGGAGCTTGAACTCACGATCCTGAGATCAAGACCTGAGCTGAGATCAAGAGTTGGATGCTTAACCAACCGAGCCACCCGGGAGCCTGGAAAGAACCAAAATCTTGACAATATTAAGTCTTCCTATCCATGAACATGGACTATCTCTCCATTTATTTAGTTCTTTGATTTTATCCATCAGGTTTTGTATTTTTCCTCATTTAGATCTTATACATATTTTGTTACATAACTATTTCATTTTGGGGGGGGTGCTAATTATATGGTGTTTTTAATTTCAAATTCCACTTGGTCCTATAGAATATAGAAAAGCAACTGACTCTGTATGTTAACCTTGTATCCTGCAACCTTGCTATTGATTTCCTGTTTTCAATGTCATTGATTTCTACTCTAATTTTTACTTCCTTTCTTCTGATTGCTTTGGATTTAATTTACTCTTCGTTTTCTAGTTTCCTAAGGCAGAAGCTTAGGTTATTGACTTCTTTTCCAGTATATACATTCACTATTATAAATCTCCCTCTAAGCACTGCTTTTGCTGCATCCCACAAAGTTTGATAAGTTGTTCAAAGACATTTAGTTCAAAATGTGTTTTCTCTTGAGATTCCTTTTTCTGACCCATGTGTTATTTAAAAATGTGTGGTAAGGTCTCCAAGAACTTTGGGCTTTTCCAGCTATCTTTCTGCCATTGATTTCTAGTTTTATTCCATTGTGATCTGAGAGTAGACACTAATGATTTGTATTCCTTTGTATTTTTAAGTTGTATTTTATGGCACAAAACGTGGTCTCTCTTGGTGAATGTTCCATGTGACCTTGAGGAGAATGTGAATTCTGCTGTTGTTGGATGAAGTAGTCTATGGATGTCAGTTATATCTAGTTAATTAACAGTGTGGTTGAATTCAACTATGTCCTTGCTGATTTTCTGCCTTTGGGATCTGTTCATTTCTGACAAAGGGGTGTTGAAGCTTCCAACTAAGAGAGGATCTACCTATTTCTCCTTGCAGATATATCAGTTTTTGCCTCACATATTTTGATGCTGTGTTGTTAGATGCATACACATTAAGGGTTGTTATCTCTTCTTGGAGAACTGACTCCTTTATCATTATGTAACGTCCTTCTTTATACTGGACTTTTATGCTCAGCTGTCTGCTCTGTCTCAGATTAATATAGCTACTCCCACTTTGTTTTGATTAGTGTTAACATGGTATATCTCTCTATCCCTTAACTTTTAGTCTATATGTGTTTTATACGTAAAATCGGTTTCTTGTAGACAACATATAGTCAGGTCCTGCCATTTATTCAACTCTGACAGTCTCTTTGAATTGGCAAATTCAAATCATTAATGTTTAAAGTGATTATCGAGGGGCACCTGACTGGCTCAGTCAGTAGAGCATGGGACTCTTAATCTTGGGGTTGTGAATTGGAGCTTCATGTTGGGTGCAGAGATTACTTAAAAATAAAGTCTTGAAAAAATAAAGTGATTATTGATATAGCTGGAATGATATCTACCGTATTTATTATTGCTTTCTTGTCATTGCTCTTGTTCTTTGTTTTTGCCTTCTACTCTTTTGCTGCCTTTTGTGGTTTTAATTGAGCATCCTATATTACCATTTTCTCTCCTTTCTTAGCATGTCAATTATACTTTTTAAGACATTTTTAAGTGGTTGTCCAATATTTTGCAATACGCAAAACACCACAGTACTTTACGGGTAGTGCAAGTACCATATAATAATAAAATATTCCTAATATCTCCCTGTTGTCCCTTGTATCATTGCTGTCATTCATTTCACTTACACACAAGCATATATATATGTCAAATACATTGTTGCTGTCATTATTCTGAACTGTCATATTAGATTAAGAATAAGAAAAATAAAAGTTTTAACTTTACTAATTCCTTCTTCAATGCTCTTCCTTTATGTATGTTGATCCTAGTTTCTGGCCTATACTATTTTCCTACTCTCTGAAGAGCTTCTGTTAACATTTCTTGCTAGGCAGGTCTACTGACAACAATTTTTCTCAACTTTCATTTGTCTAAGAAAGTACTTCTCTTTCAGTTCTGAAGGATAATTTTGTAGGGTATAGAATTCTCAGTTGGTGGTTTGTTTTTCCTCTCAACACCTTAAATATTTTCACTCCACTCTCCTTGCTTGCATGGCTTTGGAGAAGTCAGATGTAATTCTTATCTTTGCTCCTGTAGAAGTTACTCTGGCCTCTTTCAAGATTTTTCCTGTATCTTTGATTTTCTGCTTTGAATGTGATATGCCTAGGTAGAGGGTTTTTTGATTTGTTTGTTCTGCATTTATCCTGCATGTTCTCTGGGCTTCCTGGATCTGTAGTTTCATGTCTGACACTAATTTGGACAACTTCTCAATCATTATGCTTTAAATATTTCTTCTGTTTTTCTTTCTTGTGCTGGTGTTCCCATTATGTGTAAGTCACACCTTTTGTAGTTGTCCCACAGTTCTCAGATATTCTGTTCCTTTTTTACCCCCCTCAGTCTTTTTTCTCTTTGAGTTTCAGTTTTGAAAGTTTCTACTGACATTTCCTCAAGTTCAGAGATTCTTTCTTCATCCATATCTAGTCTGATAACAAGCCCATCGAAGGTATTCTTCATTTCTTTGTGTTTTCGATGTCTAGTATTTTTTTTAATTTTCTTAGAATTTCCTTTTTCTTTCAGCTTATATTCATCATCTATTCTTGCATGTTGTCTACTTTTCCCATCAGAGCCCTTAGTGCATTAATCATAGTTGTTTTAAATTCCTGGTCTCCTAATTCCAATATCCCTGCCATGTCTAAGTCTGGTTCTGATGTTTTTTTCTGTCTCTTCTTTCAGTATGCCTGGTGATTTTATGTTGAAGGCCAAACAGACATAATGTACCGGGTGAATGGAACTCTGTAAGTAGGTCTTTAGTAATGAAGTGGAGGTGTGGGGGACAGGAAGTCTTTTATAGTCTTATGATTAAGTCCAGTCTTTGGAGGAGCCTGTGCCCCCAACTGAGAACTTCACAATTGCTTCTCAGTCCCCCTGCATCCCTTAGGTGACACAGGGTGGCTGGAGTGGGTATTTATCTTCCCCCAAGTTGGTTAGGCTCTCATAAAACTTTTCTAAGTTAGACTCTTGTAAAACAGTTGCTCCTGAGGGCAGCTCTTGTTATCAGAATGCTCTGTTGTATTTCAACATTTTCCTCTCTCTGGTGGAAGCACAGATTTTCTTTTCTGATATTCACTAAGAGTAGGGCTCCTAGATGGGAATTCACAAAAGTGTAGGGGCTTCCCATGGCCGGTCCCCTGGAGTTTTTAACTCTTAGGCTTGTCTACATGGAGCCTCCAGGATTCATCAATTATAGTCTAGGTTCTCTTACCCTGGTACTGGTTCCCTTAGAGTCTCTGCTCTGGTGAGTTGTCATTTTCTGTGCTGCCTGTCTCTCCAATTCTGGGGGCAATGTTTTGACCCATGACCTCATTTTCCTGACAGATCTATGAAGAGTTATTGATTTTTCAGTTTGTTCATTTTCTTTCCTTGTTGTTAGGGCAAAGTAGTGATTTCCTTATAGGCCAGTCCAGGAAATGGAAGTCCATAACTTTTTAATAGTTTGATAAGATCCTTTAATAGCTAGAGCATAATTATTTAATTAACCTTCTGGAATCACATATTTATTTCCATGCTGCAATGTTCACTGAAGTGGGAGTGAGCAATTTAAGCATCTAGATAAATGTACATTTGGTTACATTAGATTTACAGGAGATAAAAGCAGGCATGTCCTTCTTTTTTTTGAAAACTATCCACAATATGAGTATATCTGCATGCATCTATAGCTACATCTGTATCCATATAGAATTCTGCATTTGTATTACCCCACTATCAGGGAGAAAATAATCACAATTTTGTTTAATTTGACTTAGAGCTTAAGAACACATCATCTAAAAGGACAATTCCTTAGCTACATAAGTGAACTGTGAAATAGGAAATGAGGCTTAGGTATAAATGTGCTACTTGTTACTCCTCGCCCCTTCATATTTGGAAATTATGTGACTTATCCATTATGTAGAAGCTGACCTCCACAAAGGCATTGACTCC